AAATAATACCTTAGCATTTCCGCTCAATAGATCTTTTAATGGCACCGTTGCATATAACGAATTTTTATTATAACGATCTTTTTTGAATTTGGAACATTGATTTAAACAAAATCACCTGACAAATATGCACTGCATCTTTGATATAACAAGATAAGAGATATGTGCTGATTATTTACATCAATATCCTTAAAATTCCCACACCAACTCACCACACTCCCTTCGAGAGAGCGCGACCTTACTTTGTTGCATATAAGTATATAAATAGACAGATAGAGCTGCAACAGGATCAAGAGATTGTCCCCACCCTTCTTTTTTCTAAATATTTGCTGGTGCGTTGAACCTTAAGATAGAGACAGACGGACGACACCTTACGTTGTGTTTCCCTTTGCTCATGGACGAGAACAAGTCTCAGGCTCTCCATGTTACAGGAATACTTATTTACCGTTTACAGCGTCAAGTTGAATTTTTATTGTTAAACGACAATTTCTCCCATAAGAAACATTGGACCGCTCCTAAGGGTAAAGTAATTGGTCTTGAGGACGAATTAAAGTGAGTTTCTTTTTGAGGGTGATTGTGTTTATGGTGAGGAAAGCGTCTCGGTCATAAACTTTATTTTTTTATACAAGATGTCAATTTTTGGATATTTATATGATGACACTAGATATCATTTATTAGCATTTTATAGAATATATGAATTCTTGATTTTTTTTGACGCATTGATACATGACAATTCAAAATCTAATATTGCTCTTTTTTAACAAACAATGCGCATATTTTTCTTAGATGCGCACTCCGTAATACAATCGAAATCACTGGTCTTTCCCCAAAGGATTTAAGAATTGAAGATAATTTTAGAGTTGAAATTAAATATCTTTCAGAAACTCGGTAGGTTTATTCATGTCAATAAGATTTTATTTTTTAAGAACAAAATGGTTAATCAAAAAATATGAACAATAATATTTTTCTTACAGACCAAAAAGAGTAGTATATTATCTCGCTCAAGCAATTGATCATGCTCGCATATTCACTGCTGGCGAAGGTCTCAATTTTCATTGGCTTCCACTTAATAATGCCATTGAGAAAGCAATCTACAGAAGTATGCAAGATGTCCTCAGACAAGCTGCTGCTTTCATTGAAAAAAATAAGCCCGCGCGAAATTCTGATTCGGTTCCTACTCGCACGCGTTTTGATAAACACCAAGGCGGTCACAGCGATAGGCTAGAGTCTCGATTAAAGAATTTGAATTTAGCATTACCATTAGACTCGCAAAAACAAGCTATTTCACGACAACGTCTTGAGTTGCAACGAGAACAGCGTCAACAACATCATCAAAATCAGAATAATCATCATCCACAACGAGCAGAAAAAAATGGTAGTGGTGGTAACAGTAATGGATATTCACCTCTTAACTCACCCGTAATGCACTTTGAAAATCCTCTCTATAAGACGCGTCTTTGCGAAAGATTTGAGACGGAAGAGTTCTGTCCGTATGGAACAAAATGCACTTTTGCTCATGGTACCGCTGAATTGAGGGAAAGACCTCTCACTGAGGAAAAGATCGGGATTCCTCCCATCAGCAAAGATGGTCCTGAAAATCCTCTTTATAAAACTCGTTTGTGCGAAAGGTTCATTAAAGAAAATTTCTGTCAGTATGGACCTAAATGCAATTTTGCTCACGGGGAACAAGAGTTACGGGAAAGACCTGACGTTCCACCTAACCCACGCGATAACCGAGATCGCGATTCCGTTGAGCTTAATTCACAACAGAGTCAACGGCACCATCATAGTGAGCAGCGAGCCAATAATTATCAGAAAAATCATCATCCAGAGTCAGGAGGAGATTCGATGCATGATAATGCATTTCCAGAACAACCACACGAGGAAGAAGAATCGGATGAAAAGGATGAAAAGGAAACTCGCAATAGTCATACTTATCAATATCCACGACAATACCAACAACGCCCTTCTTACAATAGCATGAGTGATTTACATAAAAAATCATCTGGGAATACTTCATTTGCGCGATCAGAAATTCAGAATGGAATTTTCGGTCGAATTGCTTCCCTGTCAGGACATCATGATTTATCGTCAAGCTTACAAAATAGACGATCCAGGTGATAAAAAATGATCTTTCGTAATTTCATGCATAATTATTTTATGTATAAATTATTTTGTGTTGGTCAAAAAATCTCTTGTACCTTTAATTGAACTTATACCAGTTTTGGAAATGGGTCAAATTACCCATTCGTTTTTCGTCTTTAATATTAGTATTAATACGCTTCATGCGCAATCTGAAGAAGTGGCAGAAACTGAAACTGAAACTCATTCGGAACAACTGCAAGAAGTTCCGAAAGATGATGAACCGGCCGAGAGTCAAATATCCGCCGATAAAAAATCAAGTCCGGCTGAAAATGAACAAAAAGATCAAAAAGAGAAAAAAGAACACGGAGAAATTGAAGGAAAGGAACAGATTGAAACTAAAAAGTCTGAGCAGCGAGATCCATCTCCTCCTTCACCAGCATATAGTTCCAATAAAACATCGGTTAATGCTAGACGACGTCCCGCTGTTCATGATACGGTGTCATTAAAAGATCTATTGAGCGGAAATGCTAAGGTATTATTTTCATTGACTTGTTTTTTTAAATAAAAAGTTAATTATTTATCTTTGCTGATATCAAATTTCTTATACAAGCCCGAAAACGAGAAATCTTGGATGAAAGTAGTGGAATTATCGAACGATGAATTAGAAAAACTAGGCAAGATGTAAGCCATTCTCTTTTTATAACCTTTAAATAATTGTTTAAGACTATTTGATTAGCGTTATATGCTAAAAATATTTAATATATTTTCAGTAAAAAAAATGAAATTCTTGGGGTACCTGCTGATAAAAGATCATCCGAAGATATGCTTGTTGAAGAGTTGAAACGGTTTTTTGTGCAAGTCAAAGAACAATCAAAATCGGTGAATGATGAAATCAAGGAAGTAACCCGCATCGAAATGAGACATGATTTGAGTAAACAGCAATTGTTTATGATTATCATGCGAAGTTTATATGAAGATACGAGTTTTGATTTAGTTCAAAAAGACTTGTTGACCAGAGAAAAATTATTTAAAAAGGTAAAAGAAATTTTAATAAGGCTGAGGTAATATTTATATTGTATTATGATTATGATATTTAAATTTTTTTTTAATAATTTTAGTATATTCATTCGAGTCATGATCAGGTTATTTTCCTCGGATGTTGGGAAAAATTCTTTCTTCAACGTAATACTAATCTTATTCCTAAAGCACCCTTGCTTTTCAAGTCATTCTATGACAGAGACTTGATTGAAGAGGATTCTATATTGGAATGGTATGATCAATCGCCAAAAGACAACAACGAAGTGAGGAAGAAATGTTCGATTTTTGTGAAGTGGTTGAGAGAAGCGGAAGAGGAGGAGTGAATAGCTAAACTAATTAAATAACTATGTGACGAAATAATTTGTTCGGGTGAGAGTACACACACAAGTAAATAGTAATAATTTATTTTCTCGCATTTTTGTGTAACCTTAACGCCTCATCATAATTCTTTAAATATCATGTTTATTTAAATAATATAATTTATATGATAAAGAGAATTTTGAATTCGATTTATCAGATATAAACTTTTATTCATTGTTCTCATTGTTACAGTTAACTTCTATTTATTTGGTAAAGATAAGACAAAAATTTTTTTTAAGTTTCTTATTGTTTGTGATACGAATAAAAGTAAATAAAATAAATTACTCTAAAATGAAAAATCTGATAATGCAAACCCGTCGTGTTAGGTATTATGTTGTTGACAAATTTGCATACATGTGGGGGAAAGTTGCATAAGGATTTTATAACATTCAAACGTAGTCAACCCTTTTTTTCGCGAGTGTTTGGTTAGAGATTCGGCTTAACGGAGGTTGAAAATTTCGATCGATACTGTACATATATTAAGTTTTGGAATTTAAAAAAAAATTATTTCGTGATAGTTCAAAAAAAGATAATGTACAACGTGATAGTCAAAATAGGATAATTAAAATAGTAAGATACACAGGGTTTTTGGGTAATACGGATACATTAATTAGTGATTATTGGCGCATATTCAATGCATTTCTTAGTAAATTAATATATTTAGAGTTGCAATATATTTGTTTTGTGTGTGATCTGATGACTCGTATTTTACGTCCGTCTTTTTCCGAATCAACAAAAAAGTCATTGAACGAAAGTTTATTATTGCGTTAAACGAGTAACTCATTGAACAACTAAAGATATTGGGTGTAACTTCTCACAAGGTGTATTTAATATTACTATTTACTATTATGTAACAATAAATAAATAAGGTAGCCAATAATTTTTCAGATCAAAATCTGATAATTCTCTGAACGTCAATGATTTACACCACCCTTTCACCAAGTGAAACAAAGATTTTTGCATGTATTGTTTTATCAGATGTAATGAGTTATCAGATTTCGATGAAAAAAAATTTTGGTCAATTAGTGCGTTAAGAGAAAAGAAAACATCCTCCAAAATAAAGAAGCAAATCATCATTCATCGAATATATGAAAAGACTCAATGTTCTATTTCGTGCTTTACAATTAATTGTCTTTTCTCTTTTTAAATGGGATATTCCATTTGATAATCAAGTTGTGACAATTCTGATTGTCATTAATAAATTCCAGAATAGGATGTAAAACGAGTAAAAGCTGTGAAAAATTTCTTTTCAAATAAGATAAAGTTGCAAATAATTCTTTAATGTGTTAATTTTTTGTAATCTATAGATGTTTCGAATAAAAAAATTTTTTGTGTATTTCTTATGCATCTTTTGGAACCCTATTTTTATTATATAAAGATAAAAATAGAAGATAAAATTCGTATAAAAGAACAAGTTTTGATTTTGCCAATTTCACTTCTTAAGTACGGTTCTCTTTCCTCCTTTTTTTCCCATTAACATTAATACATTATATTTTTATGAGTATTTGTGTATTTGCATTCTATAAAAAATCACGTATAATTTCTATAAACACGAAAAAATAATAACAAATTTCCAGCATTAAAAATATTCATTCACTTTTACATTACAATAACGCAAAATAAATTACAATGGTCTATTTATTCGACGTACCAATATTCTTTATTATACTCCGTGAAACGCTCGAATCTACAATCATTTTATCGGTGCTTCTCGGATTCATCGATAAGTTGTTGCTCAATCCAAGTGAAGTTCGTAAATTGAAACGACAAATATGGGCAGGAACAATTGCCGGGTTGGGACTTTCGCTAGTTCTTGGCGGTATATTTATCGGCATATTTTATGCGATGTCTCGTACTAATCTTTGGGAAAAAAGTGAACCTTATTGGGGTAATTTTCATATTCATTGCTTCTGACCAATGACTAATATCAATTGATTAATAAGTGAATCTATGAAATTTTTAGAGGGTATTTTTTCATTAATTGCCTCAATCGTAATCACTTTGATGGCATTCAGTATGCTTAGAGTGGCACATTGGAAAAAGAAATGGGAAGGGAAACTTCGCGAAGCCACCGAAGAATATCTCGATAAACATAGGAATGGCCAAAGTTTGGCGTTGTTCTTGTTACCATTCACTGTGGTAGCTCGCGAAGGTTTGGAATCGGTGGTGTTCATTGCTGGTGTAAGTTCTTTAGAATATTATTGTATTGTCAAGATTCCAATCGATCAAACTCATTCTTACTGTACCAATTCTTATTATTATGTCATTAATAAATAGGTCGGTTTCGGAAAACCGGCATCCGGCCTACCACTTCCAGTAATCACCGGATTCCTAGTAGGCTTATTAATAGGTTACATAATCTATCGTGGCTCACACGAAGTAACCCTCACAGCATTCTTCAACATAATGACCGTCTTCCTATTCTTTTTTGCCGCTGGACTTTTCACTACATCAATCGGCGAATTTCAAGAAGTCACAGAATCCGACGATGATGTTGCTATCGTCTGGAAGGTTAATTGCTGTGATCCGGAGACTAGTGAAGGATGGGCGATTGCTAATGCGCTGTTTGGCTGGAGGGCAGAAGCGACAGTTGGAACGACTGTCGGATATTTCGTTTATTGGGGCGTAGTACTGGCTGGATTGCTCTATTTTTATATAAGAAATCGGAAGATAAATGCCGATGATGCTGTTATTGATGCTAAGTCGACGAACAACGATGTTGTTTTGGTTCATAATGAAAAAGCAGAGGATGCTTAATACAATATTATCATATATTTCATTTATTACTTAGACTTATAATCATCCAATATAATCTTTTACCTGAAGCAAATGTATTAAATATATATTTTAGATCCGTAACTAAATTAAAAATTAGTTTATTTGATTAAATTGGTGATTTATTAATTATCACTGGAATTGTAATTATTTAACATGTTTTTTTTTTAATATATGATGAAGAGAAATAACCCTAGTCAAGGAGAGATAATCCTGCCACGGCGAAAAAAAATTACTGTCACGTGATAACGGTTGAAATATTCGATTAATATTAAATATCGGATGTTAGAGTTAGTGTTAAAGATCCAATAAAAGATAATATTTAAAGTTGCCTTCTCGGCATTTTTTGATAATGCTTCAAGTCATATTTGAATATCTGTTTTTCGTATTTTATTTTGCGTTTTGTCTTTGCAAAAAAATTTTCTACGTTGCACGCATTCTCAATTGATCGATATCACGTGTCAGTTACTTTTTGCGTGACTAAAAAAATGAAATTTTTTTAACTTATAATGGCGAATAAAATTTTCTATTTTTTAAATATAGTTAATTTTAAAAATATTGTGTTTAACGAGTGAAAAAAAGATAACAAAATAAAATTATCATAAAATACTATTTTAATTTTTATTATTATTTCAAAAGAATTAACTTAATCAAAGAATATTTTAAAATTAATACTTTTATACTAGATAAAATTCGTTTAATCAATTTAATTATAATAACTATTATTCTGGTATGTGTATCAGGCCTTTTTTTATGTAATATAATAAATATGCAGTCAAATCTTTTTATAGTTATCATATTTGAAAAAGTAAAATTAAATGATTATAGATAAATATGATTATAAAAATAATAACTAGAAGATTCAAAAAGAATAATTATTAAAAAATATGATTATAAAAAGATGTGATTATGAAGAAATCTAATTATATTTATAATGCAATTAGCAATATAAAAAATATTAAACTTTTATAAAAACTTATTTAAATTATTAAAAATCAGGATTTAAATACTTTTCTATTTAATAGATTTGCTTAATTATTTAAAATATAATTATTTATAAAGTTATTGAATTATCATATAAAATTTTTATACAAAATAAAAAAATAATTATATAATGAAAAATAATAATAATTTTACACAAATTTATTTAAAATTATTTAAGTTTAATAAAGAATTACTTTTATATTTAATAAATAACTTTATTTAATTATTTAAAATATAATTATTAAATAAAAATCATTATTTTATTTTTTAAAATATATTTTATTTTGAATTTTATACAATTAATCTTAATTTTATAATATTTCAAATTTATATATTATATAATAATTAATTATATTTAAGTTTATTTTATATATATATATTATTATTATTATTTTAAGCTTGTATATATATAAGTATTTTAAAATAAATAATAATAACTATATTCATAGCAATTATTAACTTTAATTGACAGAACAAAAAATAATTAACTAACTTTCTAATAATATACTTTAACAAATTTAACTCTTAACAAAAATACTCTCTTAATAGAGCAAGAAGAAAGATAAATTAAGATAATATATGATAAATATATATATTTATTATAAAATAATACTAGTCAATTACTTTTAACTCTAATAATTAATTACTTCTATCAAACTTAATTAATTCTTTTTAATTACTTTTTGACTCTTTATATATAATATTTTTTAATTATGCTAAATTACAAATTAATTTTATTATAATATTTTATCTAATTTATTTAAGAATAAGTAAGAACTTGAAAGAATTATTATAAAAAACTTTTCTTAATTAAATATAAAATAATTAAAAATTAAAATTAATAAAATATTAAAGAAATTAAATTTAAAGAAAAGAAAATTAATAATAATTAAAAAATTAATAATTTATAAATTACTAATTTAGTATAATATACATAGTTAAATTATATTTAAAATTAATTAATAAATAAAATTAAATATAGATAAGAAGATAAACTAAATAATTCTAAATTAAATATTAATAATATATTATAATTTTAATTTAATAATAATTATTAATTATTTCTTATATTGTGATTATACTATATTATTATATTTTATATAATAACTAATTGATTATAATATATATATATTTATTTATCTTTTAAATAAAATTTTTAATTAATAAATTAAATTTATTTTATTTAAAATTATTAAATATAATTATTTATTAAATAAAATTAAATTAAATTTTTTTTTATAATTATATTTTTTATAATTATAATAATTCTTATAATTATAAAATCAAAGAATTAATCTCATTAAAAAATATAATAAAAATAAAATTTTTTTTTATATTAAAGTTTAAAATTTTATTAAGAAATAATTTTTTATTTTTATATTAAAATAAAGTTTATAAGTTATAATTTAATCAGATTTTTTAGATTTTTTTTAATTTAATTTTATTTTTTATTAAAAAAAATCTAATAATTTTATAATTAAAATAATACTTTCAGAAAAATATTTATTAAATTATAATTTATAAATTTTATTTTAATATAAAAATAAAAATTATTTCTTAATAAAATAATAAACTTTAATATATAATTTTTATTAATAAAATTAATTTTTTTAATTTTAATAATTATAAAAAATATTATATATATTTTAAATATTTTAATTAGATAATATAAATAAAAAAAATTAGTTTTTATAATATTAAATAAAATTAGAAATCTGAAAATTCAGATTTTTTTTATATATTACTATCATTTTTAATACTTCTTGAAAAGGTTATTTCATGATAGATTAATAATCTTATATATAATATTTGGCTAAAATAAGGTATAATAAAGATATTATTAATTACAGATAGAAAAAACTAATATAATTATAGATATAGTATAATAGATATTAGACTATGATTATATTAGTCTCTCTCATCTATAATTAATAATATCTTTATTATATCTTATCTTGATCAAATATTATATATAAAATTATTAATCTATCA